GAGGTGGCAAAGTCTCGTCATGATTTTTGTAATCCTCCATGTGTGTGGGACATATTCTGATATGATAACCTTTGCGGAGTGGCATCTTAGTTGTAGTGGCCATGACTTTTATATCCATACCCTATGACAGGCGTCCGGAAAGATGAAATGGGCATTATTACTGAAAAACTACCTAGACCAAAGCCAGTTAAGTCACAAACTGGCCATTATTGGTTTAAATACACAATGAAAACACAGGATAATAAAGAATAGCATAGTGAGGTAAGGAACTACTTGAATATTATAAACATTGACATTCGCATATACTTCGGCAATGATACATGTAATCCCATATATATCGTTAGTGATGGGTATATGTGAAGAAGATTACATTATTGTTATCAAGCTCTGTGTGTACTTAGATGGTGTTAACAAGGGTAGCCAAGTTCAGAATAACCACACTGTGCATCAATGTATAATACTACTACCACAGTAATACCATCAGAATCACCACCCTGTGTCACTCATCAAACTGCTCGTCTATCTCGTCATCTGATTCCCTGAGTTCAAAGTCAGGTTCTGGATCATCCTGCAGTTTTTGGTTACTGCAGGTCTGTAACCTGCACATGCATGTGCATGTCAGTCCATTTGACAGGCACGTGCAGCTTTGGCATTTTGCATGAACACACACACTTGCATGTGAGCAGTTCCAAGACCACATCTGGTGTGGGTGGGGAGCGCATCCAGTAAATGGCCAGCTTGCCATCATCGTCTGTCCATCCATACACAGTAGGGGCTTGGTACCACAGGGTTAGCCTGCAGACAGCACTTCCAGATTTCTGCCTGATAGTGAGCTCGTTGAACATGCATGAAGAGACAGTGTCTACATGGTGGCAGCTGGCTGGACTCGACTTCTCCCCTTCTGGTGCAGAAGAGCTGGTGTAGCGCAGTTCGTTCACCTCACCAGTGTGGAACAGCTCATCACTCACATTCCATGACTGCCCTAGTCGACTAAACGTCTCTTGGCAGGAAGCGCCCTTTCTCACCATCTTCAGGGCATTCAGCTTCCCTCGACTGGCGAATGCACTGACAGTGTCGCAGCTTGTGAAGGCGTGTAAGCCAATTAGGCTGTCACAGATGCTGTCTTCAAGTGACCTTGCCAGTTTGCTGATATCGACAAACCGTGTGCGGTTCTGTGTCCCACATTTCTGGTAGATGGGACAGGTGATGTCCTTCTGGAAGCCAAGACAAAGCACCATGACATCAGTGTCCTCAGCTGTGAGGATAACTGCCTTTGAGCCCACATTTGCTGCATGCAGGAGCAGATGGGTGTCAACTTCTTCATGCGTGGAGTGCAGCTCTGCTACTTCCTCACACTGATCTTCTGTCAACTTGTAGCAGGTTTCCTCACAGGTCATGTACAACACCTTGCCATGTAGCATCTCTCTGTATCGTGGGAGTTTCCACTCTTCCACCAGAAACTTGATGAGACTGGTCTTGTTGGAGGGACTGCACAGGAATTTCCTCCACTGCTGGACGTGGTGTCCCCCTACAATGTTATTGTACTGGAGAGTGGTGTCTGCACCCCAATTCAGTCGTTCAGCATCTTTGATCGAAGTCTGTCGGTTGACATCAAAAACAAAAACCTCAATCCTCTCACTCTGTGCCCTCTCGTGGAGGACCTGGGTCAAGGCTGACTCTGCCACCTGTGCAAAGGTTTTATTGTTGCCATTCATTTTTTGGACCAGGCTCATCCCATCAATGATGGAAGTAGATGGGGTTGGGATGTCTTCTGCAGGAGACAAATTCTTTTCAAGCTCTCTGGCAAGTGCAGCCTTGTTTGTTTTTCGTAGGGACCCATCAGCATTTGCCAGTGCCCATGGCAGTAGGCCCAGTGGGTGGGCAAGGACATCCTTCATATTCATCTTCCTGCTTTCAGCCACTAGGATCATGTGGCTGAACAGGTTTCTATCTGCCTTCAGATCTACATCCTATTATTTATTTCCATGTGCTGTGTTTGTGTTGATATTGAATCATGTCTTAAGACTTTGATTGGTCATCTTGTTGTGGAATTTCACAGACGGTGGGTCCTCAGCTAACTTTGTTTGCTTGAATACCCGGTAGGCCTCTTCTCCTATCTCAAGAGCTCTCAAGAGAACCCTGGTCACATCAGGTGGAGCCATGGTGCCAGTGGAGAGGCTAACCAGATCTGTCTCATCAGGGGACATAGGATTGATCCAGTTATTCTTCATAAGGTCAATGAGAGACTGGACATCTGCTTCATCTCTCTTGATCCTTGGACCCTGTAGATTTGGATTGGACAGTTTGGACCTGCCGTGACCTATCAGGTCTCTCAGCTGTCTGAGGTACATGCTTCTGTACTCAGCTGTTAGGTAATATTTGGTCACGGCTCCTGGCTTCAAGCTGAATCTCTTTGTCCCTCCAGCTGTCTGGGTGTCTTTGTTCACCGTTTCTTCTATAGCTTGGTCAACAGGGATTCGGCCAAAGGGATTGGTGCAGCCCAGTTGAACTGAGAAGCCTCCTTCCATGAATTCCGTGTAGACATCTGGGTGTGCGATGGGCAGCTGAGACATCTGGGCGTAGTAGTAGGGGAGGTAGCATGCATAATTCATCCTATCATAAGCGAAGCACCATGGGATCATTGCGCGAATGCTTGCCATGTGTAGTATCCAGCCTCCCTCTCTGGATGCTCAGATGAGCCCCAACAAGATTTCAACCATCTCCAAATAGGACGTCCAGAAGGTCGAGAGGCTGCCGTTTCTACCTCTGTGGAACTCGCGGTAGACCTCAAACAGTTCCATGATGCGTGCACATGAGCTGTTCTCGAGAATCTCCTTCAAAGAAGCTTCTGAGACTTCTTTCCCAAGGTTGTCAATGGTCCTCAGTGTCTCATCCAGGTGAACCATGCTTCCAACCAGGACAGGAAATAATTCCACGTAAAAATAATATCAAAACTGACAAACTGAACAAAAATAATTATTTTTGCCTGTAGTACTTGGCCTTAACTAATAATCTTAACAGGTACATTGAGGGTAAAGTTAGCATCTTAGATATCTTTACTGAACATAAATAATACAGAACCTCCAGTACTTGCCTCACCTGCCCGTAAATGGTCATGAGCAAACGAGCTGCTAGAAACAGAAGGGAAACAGATAGCGCCAATCTATTCCAGACTTAACTAAGTCACTCAACCTGAAGAACAAGTGTGAACAAATGCAAGAATATATATGAAATACATGCCTCGGGGACAAACATCCATTTTGTAAATTATTTATTGTCTTAATTAACATCAGAGGTGTTGGAATGTTTTATTTGTAACGTCCAGGCAAATAGGCGTGATTGCGATAGGTGCAAAAACAGGTTTCCTGCGAGAAAAAATGTAACAGCTGCTCATTTGGAAAGGTTATCATGATTTTACATTATGAGACCTCCTTTGCCAGTAGCAAGATATAGTAATAGGTTTTTTACACTTTTATCTGGCACCAAAACTGACTTGTGTTGTGGCTATTGCAAACATGATCCCTTGTATAAAGGTGTCAGTTTTGGTGCCAGATAAAAGGGTAAAAACGTTATCATGATTATATTACTTCTTTTGGTGTAACAAAAAAAATGGCACCATTGAAGTTTTGCCACCTTGGGTGGTACCAATATCTGGTCTGGCCCAAGGACTAAAAGCCTTAATTAATCAGTTAATATAGAATCTCAAGAGGGGGAGGGGGTAATTAATAATTCCACTTGTAACGCGTTCACTTGTATAACAAGGTAGATAGCAAAATACAAATCCCTCCCCTTACCTCCTTCCCACTTCATTTACCACCAATATTTAATGTATTTATTTATCTCCATATATATAAAAGGCAAAGTTGTGAATATGTGTGTCTGTTCAAAATGTTTAGCGTACTTCTCGACATGCAACAAACTGGAAATTTGCCATGTGGGTACTTTCCAGACTGTACACCATGCAAAAAATAAAAAAATACACTTCTTGGGGGGGGGGGGGAGCTCAATAATGCATATATTTTTTGCACGGCAAGTGAGCTGTGACATCAAATCTGTCACGTGACCCGCGCATGTGAAAGTGTAACGCATTGTAGTGTTGTGGTTAGCGCGTTTTGCAACGAACCCGGTGACCTGAGTTCGATTCCCGTTGAAGGCTACCACCGGTGACAATTATTTGAACCGGTCCTGGGCCTCCCCTAGGTCGACTCAGCCTCAAACAAGTAACTGGTGTGTTGTGTGAACATCGCAACTGGATGAATCCAAGTCCCGGATGAATCCAAGTCCCGGGCGAAGCCGGGTAGCAAAGCTAGTTCATTATATGCCCCAGCTGTGAAATGTATACACCACTTAGTTGAAAACTGTGCTTACAGGAGTAAGTGTATGATATTCGTAAATATATTAATAATATTTTACTGGTGTTTTTTTTACTCCTTAAATATGAAAACTTTTCAAATATCACTACACTTGCAGTGTGGGCAGACAACACAAATTAACCCAAATGGGATGTTTTCCAGTTTGCTTCTTACCCATAACAAGTATGCAAAAGAGACAAACTAAATTATTATGTGAACTGAGAAACTAACTACGTTAACGTTTGCAGAATGACGCCTGGCGATTTCGTTAGTTAATGCAGATATATTTATGAGTGCTCAGACTAATATCACTTTAAAAAAGTGGAACATATCTTTGCCGACAAGCAAAAGGGATGTTTAATGTCGGTTGGCAGCCCTGAGTGGTGAAAAGTCCACCTTCCAAAAGGATGCCCATTGTTGACTTTTTACAAAGTGTTTTATATTTTATTAACCCAGAAAAGATGTTAGACTGACGCCACGCTTGAATGGCATTTGAACTCGCAACTTTCCGATTGCAAATTGAGTGACGCAACCACACATGGAGACTAATGATGTAAAACGTGGACAATAATACGCTTGGATAAGCACAAAATGGAATGTGGAAAATTACAATCCTGTACGTGCATTTGACAAAGCCAGCGCGCTTACCGAGGCCGGTGATCTTGAACTGCCGGGTCCTGCGGCGGAGCGACACAGGCCCAAACATCCACACGTCCTTGTGAATCAGCGTGGACATTCGTCCTCCATCCCTGTTGGACTCTGGTGGCTGTGCCTCATCCGTGCTGTGGGCCTTGCGGTAGAAGATGCGGTAGCCACGCACGCCACTCATGTTGGTGGGTGGCAACCAGATGACCCACAACGAGGTCGGCTTCGCCTCCACCTTCAGCTCTGCTGGGGCCAGGGGCACTGGGGCACACACACACACGGGAAGTTCACCCTCTTGTGGGAAAATAGCAATCCATTTTTTTTTGCAATACAATTGTAGAAATGTTTTTTTTAGTATGTGCATTACAACATGTGCTATACGTAATCCTACAGAAACAAACCAACTCAAACCTCTACCGTGCTACTCCACAACCACGCTGTGAACATCTATAATGGGTACAATGCATTTGATGGTTAAAATATGAGTCACAATTTTCCTTATTTAACATTGGGGTAGCCCATTATGATTCATTTTCTATTGTACAGTGAGGGAAAAAAGTATTTGATCCCCTGCTGATTTTGTACGTTTGCCCACTGACAAAGAAATGATCGGTCTATAATTTTAATGGTAGGTTTATTTGAACAGTGAGAGGCAGAATAACAACGAAAAAACTCCAGAAAAACGCATGTCAAAAATGTCATAAATTGATTTGCATTTTAATGAGGGAAATAAGTATTTGACCGGCTCTCAATCGGAAAGATTTCTGGCTCCCAGGTGTCTTTTATACAGGCAACAAGCTGAGATTAGGAGCACTCCCTTTAAGAGTGTGCTCCTAATCTCAGCTCGTTACCTGTATAAAAGGCACCTGTCCACAGAAGCAATCAATCAGATTCCAAACTCTCCACCATGGCCAAGACCAAAGAGCTCTCCAAGGATGTCAGGGACAAGATTGTAGACCTACACAAGGCTGGAATGGGCTACAAGACCATTGCCAAGCAGCTTGGTGAGAAGGTGACAACAGTTGGTGCGATTATTCGCAAATGGAAGAAACACAAAAGAACTGTCAATCTCCCTCGGCCTGGGTTTCCATGCAAGATCTCACCTCGTGGAGTTGCAATGATCATGAGAACGGTGAGGAATCAGCCCAGAACTACACGGGAGGATTGAATGCACTGACAGTGTCGCAGCCTGTGAAGGCGTGTAAGCCAATTAGGCTGTCACAGATACTGTCTCCAAGTGACCTTGCCAGTTTGCTGATATCGACAAACCGTGTGCGGTTCTGTGTTCCACATTTCTGGTAGATGGGACAGGTGATGTCCTTCTGGAAGCCAAGACAAAGCACCATGACATCAGTGTTCTCAGCTGTGATGATAACTGCCTTTGAGCCCACATTTGCTGCATGCAGGAGCAGATGGGTGTCAGCTTCTTCATGCGTGGAGTGCAGCTCTGCTACTTCCTCACACTGATCTTCTGTCAACTTGTAGCAGGTTTCCTCACAGGTCATGTACAACACCTTGCCATGCAGCATCTCTCTGTATCGTGGGAGTTTCCACTCTTCCACCAGAAACTTGATGAGACTGGTCTTGTTGGAGGGACTGCACAGGAATTTCCTCCACTGCTGGACGTGGTGTCCCCCTACAATGTTATTGTACTGGAGAGTGGTGTCTGCACCCCAATTCAGTCGTTCAGCATCTTTGATCGAAGTCTGTCGGTTGACATCAAAAACAAAAACCTCAATCCTCTCACTCTGTGCCCTCTCGTGGAGGACCTGGGTCAAGGCTGACTCTACCACCTGTGCCAAGGTTTTATTGTTGCCATTCATTTTTTGGACCAGGCTCATCCCATCAATGATGGAAGTAGATGGGGTTGGGATGTCTTCTGCAGGAGACACATTCTTTTCAAGCTCTCTGGCAAGTGCAGCCTTGTTTGTTTTTTGTAGGGACCCATCAGCATTTGCCAGTGCGCATGGCAGTAGGCCCAGTGGGTGGGCAAGGACATCCTTCATATTCATCTTCCTGCTTTCAGCCACTAGGATTATGTGGCTGAACAGGTTTCTATCTGCCTTCAGAACTACATCCTATGATTTCTTTCTACGCGCTGTTTTTGTGCTGATATTGAATCATGTCTTAAGACTTTGATTGGTCATCTTGTTGTGGAATTTCACAGATGGTGGGTCCTCAGCTAACCTTGTTTACATGAATACCTGGTAGGCCTCTTCTCCTATCTCAAGAGCTCCCAGTTATTCTCCATAAGGTCAATGAGAGACTGGACATCTGCTTCATCTCTCTTGATACTTGGACCCTGTAGATCTGGATTGGACAGTTTGGACCTATCAGGTCTCTCAGCTGTCTGAGGTACAGTGAGGGAAAAAAGTATTTGATCCCCTGCTGATGTTGTACGTTTGCCCACTGACAAAGAAATGATCAGTCTATAATTTTAATGGTAGGTTTATTTGAACAGTGAGAGACAGAATAACAAAAAAAATCCAGAAAAACGCATGTCAAAAATGTTATAAATTGATTGGCATTTTAATGAGGGAAATAAGTATTTGACCCCCTCTCAATCGGAAAGATTTCTGGCTCCCAGGTGTCTTTTATATAGGTAACGAGCTAAGATTAGGAGTACACTCTTAAAGGGAGTGCTCCTAATCTCAGCTTGTTACCTGTATAAAAGACACCTGTCCACAGAAGCAATCAATCAATCAGATTCCAAACTCTCCACCATGGCCGAGATCAAAGAGCTCTCCAAGGATGTCAGGGACAAGATTGTAGATCTACACAAGGCTGGAATGGGCTACAAGACCATTGCCAAGCAGCTTGGTGAGAAGGTGACAACAGTTGGTGCGATTATTCGAAAATGAAAGAAACACAAAATAATTGTCAATCTCCTTCGGCCTGGGGCTCCATGCAAGATCTCACCGCATGGAGTTGCAATGATCATGAGAACAGTGAGGAATCAGCCCAGAACTACACGGGAGGATCTTGTCAATGATCTCAAGGCAGCTGGGACCATAGTCACCAAGAAAACAATTGGTAACACACTACGTCGTGAAGGACTGGAATCCTGCAGCGCCCGCAAGGTCCCCCTGCTCAAGAAAGCACATATACATGCCCGTCTGAAGTTTGCCAATGAACATCTGAATGATTCAGAGGACAACTGGGTGAAAGTGTTGTGGTCAGATGAGACCAAAATGGAGCTCTTTGGCATCAACTTAACTCGCCGTGTTTGGAGGAGGAGGAATGCTGCCTATGACCCCAAGAACACCATCCCCACCGTCAAACATGGAGGTGGAAACATTATGCTTTGGGGGTGTTTTTCTGCTAAGGGGACAGGACAACTTCACCGCATCAAAAGGAGGATGGATGGGGCCATGTACCGTCAAATCTTGGGTGAGAACCTTCTTCCCTCAGCCAGGGCATTGAAAATGGGTCGTGGATGGGTATTCCAGCATGACAATGACCCAAAACACACGGCCTAGGCAACAAAGGAGTGGCTCAAGAAGAAGCACATTAAGGTCCTGGAGTGGCCTAGCCAGTCTCCAGACCTTAATCCCATAGAAAATCTGTGGAGGGAGCTGAAGGTTCGAGTTGCCAAACGTCAGCCTCGAAACCTTAATGACTTGGAGAAGATCTGCAAAGAGGAGTGGGACAAAATCCCTCCTGAAATGTGTGCAAACCTGGTGGCCAACTACAAGAAACGTCTGACCTCTGTGATTGCCAACAAGGGTTTTGCCACCAAGTACTAAGCCATGTTTTGCAGAGGGGTCAAATACTTATTTCCCTAATTAAAATGCAAATAAATTTATAACATTTTTGACATGCGTTTTTCTGGATTTTTTTTTGTTATTCTGTCTCTCACTGTTCAAATAAACCTGCCATTAAAATTATAGACTGATCATTTCTTTTTTCTGTGGGCAAACGTACACAATCAGCAGGGGATCAAATACTTTTTTCCCTCACTGTATAAGGGAGGCTCTGGGAAGCTGCAATTGCATAGAGTATGGTAATATATTGACTATATAGCTGTATACAATTGTACAATTATGGTCCAAATGGTGATACTTCCATGCAATGGCCTACTCTTGTAAATTATTCTGAAGGGGTCTTCACATCCAATTTACAGCACCAAGTGTGGTCGAGTGATTCTTTATTTTTTTTTAAATATACGGGGAAGCAATATCCACTTAGATAAATATACTCTACGTATTCCAATACCTTTCCGGAAACCCATTGTGACTAATATCTCAGACCAAACAATTCACTGTTCTATTCGATCTCTTGTGTAGCATTTGTAATTTTACAGTTTCGTGTTAATCCAATTTTTTTCGTGTTCTACCCACTTTTCCCCGGTCCAACTTTTCTCTCCCTCTCTTGGAACTTTGAGCACTAGATTTAGTCGCACACTATGCCTTAATGGACAGAATATTCTTTGCAAAATGCAAATAAAACAATCAATAACTTGTCTTTATAATGTCCTTGCAATGCTTACAGAAAATCCTGACAAACACGCTTGATTCCTTCTCAACTGTAACATGTACTCATGAGAATTAATTATAATTTTTATCCTAAACAACTTAAATCTATGCTGCAACACACTACTCTTTTCCTTCAGCCTTTGGCTCCTGTGGACTATTATTTTGTGTCAGTCAAACAAACAATACATCTCCATCAATCTCATTACAGAGATTATAAGTCACCATAACATATGATTCAACAAGGACTGGTAAAACATTCAATGTGGTTCTTTTTCCATTTCTTTATTTTCTTATACAACAGCCTCCTGCTTGCCCCACCAAGTAGAACTGTCTTGAATTTTTTTTTATTTTATTATAAAAGCCATATGTCTCACTTTAATAATAAAAATGGGCCAACAGCCAACGCAGGAAATATTGTCAAAAGGTCACGAGTTACAAAATAGCATGGTGGAGGAAGACAGGAAGCGTGTTACAGGGTCAAGTGCACGAGGTATCCTATCACGTTAAACTCCGCGCACAGGTCACGCACGCCTGGGGCTGCGCGGTGCACAGGGCCCCACCCACCTCTGCGATTGATCGATGGCGGTGTGCGGTACTGCATCCACTCTGAAGGCGCACCGTACCCGGCAGCGCTCGCGGCCGTGATGCGCACCTTGTACACGCGGTTGGGCAGCACGCCGCCGAGCACCGCCTGCGTCTCGGAGCCATTCACCTCCACGTACCGCGCCGCGTCTGTGGGGCGGTGGGCATCACGCTGTCATTGCTTTTGGTGGGCAAAGCCCAGTTCGGGGTGGGGGGGGGGTTGCCCCGAATGTAACATTTCTACAGGAGTCTGCACCCTGAGATGCAACTGGGGCGGGGGTGGGGGGGAATAGGAGTAGAGGGGTACAATATCGGGCACATATTTAGATGGCCAATACATCTCAGGACATTTTTGACGTTAAATTTGGAAGTTAATAATTTCGGAAATTATGATTTACTATTCGCTCCCCTCTGAAATGTTTAGCTTCGTGCGCCACTGCCCACAGCAACAGGGAAACCGAGAAACATAACACATCGTAAATGAGCAAATACACATTCTCTTTGGTTCTATTGGGTAAAGTCAGGTGAAAATAAAATAACAAAAAATCACGACGTTTCGGCCACAACACAAGCGGCCTTCATCAGGTGAAGGGACGAGACTGTCTGGAGGACAGCATTAATAATGGTGGAAAAGTCCAATGCACATGTTAGCAATGCAACTGAACTGGTTAGAAATTCCCTACATTTGCCTGATGACAGTGTATGTTAATGACTATGCTATTTTAATGAATGTTTCTTTGACGTGACTTTGTGGCCTCATGGTTCAGAGGTCTCGTGAGCTCTGCTCCAATTAGATTACTCTCAAGTTTGAAGCCCTAAACCATACACCTGACATTGTGACAGAATGTTTTATAAATGTATGTTGTTTGCTTGGTGAAGATGTTAAAGGTCATTAAACAAAATTGGCAAATGTACTGGGGTTGTAGTATCATGTTCCTCTAACTCAGTGATTTGGATGCAGGGTTGGTGGATGAGATGACACGCAGATCTCTTTCAATTCTGCACATTATCAACACACACCGCTGGGAAAACTAAAGTCCCTTTGTTCAGTCTCAGTAGACCTCCCCCCCGATGTATTCAATCCTTTGTAAGATATACATATACAAATTGGAATCTAATGCCCCAAATTAGAGGCAACGTTTATGAATCACATAGAGGTGGAACTTGCATAAAATACCCACCTTCAAGGCACTGCATTGATTGTAGATGGCAGTGAAGTAAGTAGGTTTACGATCTATTCGTTTGAAGCTTAACTATTATCGATTAATATGAATGGATTATCTCTGTGAACTGTTTTCCACTCACAAAGGAACTAGACAATACTTTGGGACTCCCATTGAGACATTCCTGAGTCAATCACTATTAGAGCATATGTATTGTATACAGGTTTCAAGATTAGTCATCAAAGTAAACTATGGTAGTATATTAAACAATTAATCATGTTGGATTCAATATCAATAAGACATAATACCTCTCCATGACTTCTATCCAGCCAGCCTCCGAGGTCTTTCCTTACAATATCCCACCACCTTTTTTTTTTACGTGTTTTTGCTGATTTCCGAGTGGTAATCTGAGTTCCCTCCTCCATCCTGCACAAGTTCTCCGCCCAGGGGCAGAGCCAGGATTTCAGGCCGGGGTGACATTCAACAAATTTTAATTTCAAGAATGATTAGAGTTGAACTAGACGCCATCGGTTGGCGACACACTCTGACAATGCAGTTGCACGGAGTCCGCCAGACCGAGTGTCGTAGACTTACACGCAGAATGTCACCCCTGTCACCCCCCCTGGCTCCGCCCCTGTCTCCGCCCATCGTAAACTTCCCATCATTACATCTACACTACTACTCTCGTTTAACCTTGTATTCTGAACTCTCAAGTTGCTTATCCTATTCTGCCATGAAAATGCCGAGCATCCTCCTCATGCAACGATGTTCAAATGCCAGAAACTATTGTCCATTAATATTAAAATATAATAATGAATTGTTCTTTGTACACGGTCAAGACAATTTAAATGTGCAAACTTAACTGCATCTTAAACAAGCAAGAAAACATTTGAAAAATGCAGCTATCAACATTTATGTCTCGAGGCAACAGGCAAAGGTTGCAGATTCCCCAGGGCAGGCAAACGTGCAGAACGAGGGAAGATTTCTCTCCTGCTGCTGGGCTACGACTACCTTGAGTGAGCTCAGCAGCCACGATGATAATTAAGCATTGACCGATTGATTTAATGCCGCTTCTACTTACCAAAGACAAACCCATAACGTCTGACAAAACTGTCAAACATGCTGCAACGTCAATTGCACTTGCACAATGTTTTTTTACGTGTAACATCATAATGCTCATCATCGTCATCGCCTTCAATAGGATGGGTGAGCAATTGAAATGCAACACTCCAGCAATGCATTGGATAGCTCTGAGAGTAATACTTTATTGTCATGAATCCCAGCTATTGAGCACAAATATATATATTTTTTTACGATTGGATGGTTGAACACCATTGGTGTAGCTTTATAAAAATGAAAAACTTAAAATAATTTTCTTTAATGGCATTTTCTTTAATGGCAGTAATAGTTCAGCCCTGAGGCCAGCAAAATGATGTTCTCAAGGTTGTCTAATAAAATCCTGATAGAGCCAACTTAAATAACACTATGTAACACAATTTTTGTTCCTGGGTGGTATGTGTTATTTTGTAATTGCTTATGCCTAAAAAGTATATAAAATGGCTATTATTCCCCACAAACTATGCTTTTGTGACCAGGACAGTGATATTTTGAAATGTACCTATTTCAATGAGAAAACGGGCGAATTTGTGTCTTTTGGTTCACATAATATCAGAAAAAACAACATATTAATCAAAATTAACATTTATATATACTAATGTAATGCAAAAATGACGACAAAAGATTTAGAAGTGAGTAGTTTTTCGAGATTTACGATTATACTGTAAATCACTTTCACGAATCAGCCCCCAAATGTAGTCTCCCATCATGTTCTCGTTATTCTGTCCTTGGTAGCGCCATTCAAAGTCTAATATATCCTGGTGGAAGCGCTCGCCTTGCTCCTCCGAGTACGCTCCCATGTTCTCCTTGAATTTATCAAGATGAGCATCAAGGATATGGACTTTGAGAGACATCCTACAGCCCATTGTGCCGTAGTCCTTCACCAGAGTCTCAACCAGCTCCACATAGTTTTCGACCTTGTGATTGCCCAGGAAGCCACGAACCACTGCAACAAAGCTGTCCCAAGCCGCTTTCTCTTTACTAGTGAACTTCTTGGGGAATCCATTGCACTCCAGGATTTTCTTTATCTGTGGTCCGAAGAAGACACCGGCTTTGACCTTTGCCTCAGACAGCTTAGGGAAGAAGTCTTGAAGGTACTTGAAGGCTGCCGACTCCTTATCTACAGCTCTGACATTGTTTCATAAGGCCAAATTTAATGTGCAGTGATGGCATCAGCACCTTCTGGGGGTCCACCAGTGGCTCCCACTTGACGTTGTTCCTCCCCACAGAGAACCTGGTCTGCTGTGGGGAAACTTGGTAAAACTGCCTTGTGGAATGCTACCATTTTGAAGTCTCTGATGATCTCCCAGCCGTACTCATCATACTTCAAGGCGTCCAGCAAGGTCTTGATGCTGTTGTAATCCTCTTTGAGGTGTACCGAGTGAGCCAGGGGAAGAGATGGGTACTTGTTACCATTATGGAGCAGCACGGCTTTGAGGCTCTTGGATGAGCTGTCAATGAAGAGGCGCCACTCATTCTGGTTACAGGCGATTCCGATTGCCTCGAACATTCTGGTCACATTGTGGCAGACGCAGAGCTCATCTTGACAGGTGAAGAAGCTGCAAAAAGGTTGGTGATGCTTCCTCTGATCTGCAACTTGCACACTTTCATCCAACAAGTTCCACTGCTTGAACCTCGACGTCAAAAGCTCGACATTAGACTTGGTGAGACCAATATCTCTGATCAAGTCGTCGAGGTTTTTTTGGTTGGGGTAGTATGGGTTTCTCTCCTCAACTCCACCTCTGAAATTGTCATCTGGATCTACAATGTCTTCCTCGCTCTCTGACTTGCTGCTCTCTTCTAGAGACAGCTGCTCTCTCTCTGGAGGAGTGGGTACGGGGAGCTCATGGCAGGATGAAGGAAGGTCCAGATACGTGATAGCAGGTGCATTCTTGCCAGTCCGACGTTTGGAAGGGTCCACCATGCAGAAGTAGCAGTTGCTTGAGTGGTCAGTGGGTTCCCGCCAAATTCTTGAGATAGCAAACTTCATGGCTCTCTTTTCCCCTCTGTACCATCCTACAAAAATACATTTATTTCACCCATGACTAATATCTGATATATGTTTTATATATTTTTTCAATAACATTGAAAATTGTAAAACATTTGAAAATTAAAAACTTAGGCAGCTGGAACTAAACTGAACTGGTAGGCTGAAGGCCCCTGTATTGATACTACTATTTATATTACTGGAAAGTTCTAGAATGTTTTAGAAGCACTGAATCTATCTGGAATGTTCTGGAAAATAGGTAAATTTCAAAATATCAATGTCCTGGTCACAAAAGCAACGTTTATGGGGAATAATAGCCATTTTCTGTACTTTTGAGGCATAAGAAATTCGGAAATAATACTTACTACCCAGGAACAAAATATTAATTTGTTACACAGTGTAATCAGTGCAGCATCATCAGCCACTTTAGATTCATCATAATTTCCATGTTCGTTCAATAGCGAACCGTTCATAGTTTTAAGTTATTCATAATAATACCGTCAATATTGGCACTCTGCAGTACTCATTACCAGTCAGTGCCATTCTCCTGGTTCAACATCCAGTGTTACAATGAAACAACATTGAGGAATTGCATATACAGTATACGTACGTTCATGAATATCTTACAAGCATTACTACATCAAAGTGCGTGCTGTGCGATTCGCTTAATTCCCACGCCATTCGTTACAACACGCGATGTTAACTATTGAATTGTTCTGCACCAGCCTTGTTTACCACAAATTTATGATATCTCATGGTGTGTTCCTCAAGATAATTAAATAGCGTTTCACTTACACGTGTGTAGTTATAGAAGACTGGCATATAATACAATACATAAATGCCAACAGCATTAATATATGTTACAATTTTCCTTCCATGCTCAT